CATAATATAACTAGTGGTATGATTATCATCGATGATATTTTCGAATTGAAACCGAGCTGCAGATTTCATGAGTCCGCAGGACGAGTGAAATGTGCTGCTTCGGTTTTAATGAGTAAATATCATCGATAATTAATCATACCACGAGTTATATTTAGTGAGAAAATATAATGAATTTTAGGATTTAACGAATTTTTAGTTTGACATTTGAAATTAAAATGTGCTTTAAAATATAAAAAGACTTTAATAAACCTTATTTATTCAAACTTACCTTAATTTTATTATCGTTTACACCAACCCATCGATCTTTTAGAGTTTATAATTCATTATTTTAATCATTTAGGTAACAAACACAGTATTTAAATGACAACAAATGTCAAATCAAAAAAAACGTCAAAGTTCATAGTAACGTGTAAACAAGATGATAAAAATTATTGCCGCTGTGATAAAATACGTCACTATGGAATACTGGCATTTTATTGGTTCTAATATTAATGAATTATATTGTCGTACGAATATTTTTAGAGAAATTGAATAAATTATGCAGTTAAAACCCAACCCAACCAATATATAAATAACAAGTGTGTTAATTTAATTTTTGTTTGTAGTTTTTTTTCTTCTAAATTAGTGTTGCGCACACTGCCCAATGAAGGTGAGAAGTAAAAACCTTGCCGGTAACATATGCGTTAGGTAGGTTACTTTAAAACATCGAGAGAAAACGAGTTATAGGTAGGTACCTACCTAACCCCCAAAGATCAATATTATAATACCTATAGGTATACCTACGCATTTTATAAAATGCGTTTTACGATCCGTACCGGTTAAAATGGGGAGTAGTTCCACAATATCCCAGTCCTTTAATAACTGGTCCATACGTACTCACAACACGATAAAAACAGTATGATATCACAAAACCACGCACTATGCAAAGCCGTAAACAGACAACCACTAAATGGCCGAATTTTCCTTCATTCGTACCAAATTTCATTAATTATAACGTTATTAGTATTAACCACAGTACACTGTTTAAAATATCTGTGGTGTAAAAAGTAATCTTAAAATGGTGTCAAAATCCAACACCAAGTGGTGTTAATATAACACCATGAATTATGGTTGAAAATGTTTTATACAGCAAACACCAAAGCGGTGTTTATCTAAAAATATTTGAGAAGTGCACCTACACAGAAAAAAGGAATAGTTAGTTCATTTAACTATATTAATTTAGTTGACCCATAAGTATTTATTTAAATCAACTGTGGGAAGATTAATATAAACAAAGGTACTAAACCAGATAGTTATTTTATTTTTTTAAATTGGTTAAATTAACCCAGAAAACTTTAGTTTACTAAATATTTTGTTTGTAAAATAAGAGTTACTTCAACCTAAAGCACTCTGTTAAAACGATTAAAACAATTTGCCGTGCATTCCTGATTGCATAGTGTGTACCGATCGCGGCAAAGGCGGTGTGTATCACGTGATGTTCTTAAATCTCGCATCTGTTGACTTACATGAAGAGTATATAAGCTCAGGTAGTCCTTTGCTTTGGTGTGACACTACAAGTTGTTCGATACTAAAGAGACCTTAAATAGGTGGAAACAGCTGTCAAATTGACAGTGTCAATACTTGAAGTATTTTAAGTTGGTGGAACGTATAAAAAACATTATCTCTAGCGAGTTGAAGGTTCAATTTTCTGGAATGATACCACTGGTAATATACTTCTAATACGTCATACTTCCTGTTTCCTTTTTTTCTGTGTAGTATGATTTAATTTGACCAAAAACACATTATATTTAACACTGAAAAGGGGTTCAATTTACACCAGGTAACATTTATTTTAATACTGTGTGAAAGTTAAATTTACACCATTTTAGTATTTGAATTTACACCGGACCAACGAACCTTATTTAACACCATTTTGGTTTGTATCGATATAGACCATGTATGGTGTTAATTTGGTGTTAAAATGGTCATGAAATTTTGAACAGTGTAGTGGTAAACGTCAAAAAATTACTATTTGTTACGAACCAGTTGTAATGGAAAAATTAACCATAACGCAGAATTGTACAATTTTTAACTATTTTGTTATAATCCGTGCCACTTATAGTAGTGGTAAATTGGTAATATTGGTATTTTTTCTATTCTTTTACATTACATTTGTTGTCACATATCTTTCATTACTTTGATTAACATGCGTAAATATACCCCTGAGAATCCATTAATTGCATTTGAACAAAAATACAAAACATACTGAAATGTGTTTCTACAAACAACAACATTCGATTGAAAACGGAGACGACTGGGTGAATAACTAAACAAAATAACGAAATAAAAATCTTTTTCCTCTCGGCAGCGTTGGCGAGAGCAAAGGGAGCAAAAGAAAAATTAAAAAAAAAAAAAAAACACCAAACGAAACGTAGGTAGCAACGTGTTGCAACAAACTGACTGGATTTTATGTGAGAATGGAAAAGCGGGCTGGTTTCATACGGCTGACGGACCCTTTATTCCACTGTCACTTGATGCATACACACACACGCGCACACACACACACACACACACACACGTGTATTAGCTTTCGCAGTTTTGATGAAAAATGCAACGTCAAAATTTCAAACGACGGGATTTTTAAAAGCAGCGAATAAATTCAAAAATATGGTAATTTTTTAAAAACGCCAAATTAATATTTCATCAACATGGAATATTAATTTAAAAAGGAATATACAGGGTGAGTCATTTGAAATATTTTATCTTCAAAGCACTTTATATAGGTCAATTTAATTCAACATCAAAGCGGCCTAACCTCACTTTTTTAGAATCTCATTTATTTATTAGCTAAATATTACACTAAATGTGCAATAATTATTATTGCTTTTAGAAGCAGTAATAGTTTGACAATACCTAGCTACATGATTTAAGTAGAAATGGATTTTTGCTATTACATTGAATTCAATTAATTGTTTAATAAATAGGTAGGTATCTAATTTCAATTTGTTTGGATTTTTATTTAAAAAATAGGTAGTTTGGAATGTTTAAGCTGTGTTTAACATTTAATTTCACTGAAAACTTAAAGCAAATTAAAACTTAAAGATAATTTAAATCGTAGAAAAAGAATCGTGCGTTTTCTTGGTTGCCTAACGTCACTTTTTGTTTTATTATTCATATTTAATTTTACAATAATTTAATGAAAAATATTAAACATTAACAGTAAAACAAGCAAATTAGTGCTTATTATAAATAAATTAAACCAGTTTAGTACGTTAATTTCTTAGAAAAGGATAAATTTGTCAAATCAATACCCCTAGCGAGAAAAAATCGAACTAATTACTTGCCTCATAAACATTTTTATCGGCCTAGGCCATAAGAAGATATTTCTTTATCGAATGTTGACAACAATAAAGTTTAAATTATAGACCGCGTGGAGATAAATGGTATTTATTTATAAATAATAATTATTATTGAGGTATAAAGAAACCATTTAACATAGTTTAGCATTATTAAATCAATTTAGTTCGAAGATTAATTTGCAAACAAAAAGACCTCCTTTCGTTAGGCAGTTATTCATAATGGATTTTTTAACAGTGGAAGAAAAAATAGAAACGATTTTGATTTATGGAGAAGCAGGCAGGAATCTTGATGAAGCTGTTAATATCTACGCTCAGCGTTTTCCGGAAAAAATTCGATCGCGTACGTCATTTCACCGTACAGTCAAGCAGTTTACTACAAACGGGAGTGTGCAACCAAAAAAAATAGTTCGTCGAGCAAAAGTTTTGAGCTCCTAATTTGATTTAAAAAAAAAAATTAAAAAATAAAACCAGCGAAGGAAATGTAACTCAATGGCAGTTAAAATAAAAAAGACACCTATAAACAATCAACAAACATTTTCATTTTTGCTCACGAAAAGTATGTATATTTTCTGAAATGCAAATTCAAGATTGTTTATTATACTGTAATCAAAATTAATCCAGTTTTAATCAAAATAAATCTGCCGAAATATTCACTTTCTTCATTAAATTAGTCTGAAGCGATGGTGCACCCTTCCTATCATCAATCAACAAAGATTTACCGTCTGACAATAAAATTCGCGAAGTCGTATTTAAATGTTTAGACCTGTGCGCGGTTGCCAGATCCAGGATCCACCCGATCCCTTTACAATTTGCGGGATTAAGGAAGCAGGGCCGGATTTAAGGGAGGGCAATCAGGGCAACTGAATGAAAAAACCTTTCGTCTACGATTTGTGAAGAACTGATCAGTTCCATGGGTGATAAAGTACTCAATGAAATAATATCAAGAATTAAAAAATCTAAGTATCATTCAATGTCAGTGGACTCCACGCCCGACGAATCTCATATCGATCAACTGACTATAGTTGTTCGATATATTGAAGGATCGATGCCAAAGGAAAGATTTCTGACCTTTTTATCAAACTGTGGCCATATTGGTGAAGCCACAGCAAACGCTTTACTAAAATTTGTAGGCCACCATCAAAATGACATTATTGATTTTCGCGGCCAATCATACGATAATGCTGCAAATATGAGCAGCAAATACAAAGGCATGCCAGCTCTGATTTTAAAGAAAAATCCTTTATAGGTGTTGTGGTCATTCTCTTAATTTAGTTGGAAAGGCTGCTGCTAATGCTTGCACATTGGCTGTTCAATTCTTTGATTTCGTTTAGAATTTATATAAATTTTTTACAGTAAGTATAGAAATATACCGAATTCTAACTGAAAAATTATCGGAAAAACAAACAAACGTGTTGAAAAGGCTTAGCGATACACGCTGATCTTGTCGAGCTGAAGCTACGAAAGCTATTGCCGACGGTTATTCTGAAATCAAAGAAGCTCTTACAGCATATCTTGTGATTAGGAGCAAAAAGAGATCGTGAGAATTGAAGCAACGCATCTTTTGGAGAAGATGAGTTGTCTCGAAACCGCTCTATTTGCCATCTTTTGAAACGACATTTTGGAGCGATTTAACGCTACAAACAAGATCTTACAGGATGCAAGATGACTCTTGAGTCTGCAATGCATGCATTGAAATCACCGAAATTATTTGTTGAATCCAAAAGAGACGAGTTTGACAAATACGAAGAAGCTGCTAAAGGAATATCAAGAACTGACCAGTACGTACAATCTCGCACCAGAACTAGAAATGTGAGGTTGGATCCGCTCGATTATATGAAAGCACAAGATGCCAACTTGTCACGAAAAGATAAATTTAAAGTGCCAGGCTTTATCCCAGTGATCGATCAGCTATGTGTTTCTCTTACTGAAAGATTGCATGCATACGATGATGTACCTACGTTCAAAATTTGGATTTCTCAATCATCTAGAGATGGATGCTGCAAATTTGTATACTGCAGCAGATGAATTTTAATTTGTATCTTTGATAAACTTATACAAAACAGACTATAAAAAAGACCTATCTAAGGAGCTGTTCTATTATTAAGTTCTTGAAAATCAAAATTATAAAATATAGGCCAAGAACTACGATGGGACAAAACCGCCTATCAAAGTGGTTTAGTGCGGGAGCTGGATTTCAGCGAAATCATCAAAGATTTTTCGTTGAAAAAAGCTCGCAAGGTTTCATTCTGTAATTTGATTTGTGATTGCATGTTCTATATTTTTGTGCCTACGACTAAATAAATAAATGATTAAAACACCAGCAAGAAAAATATTATTTAACCTATTTGAAAAATGATTAACTTTCCAGTTCTGTTTCTCAGCACCAAGCGTTAAATTATTACCGTCATTTGCATAGAACGCACCATGTAAATAACCCATCCATTAGACGTAATAAAAATAATGGCGCTATAAGACTTTTCGTGGCATGCACTTCCCAAAGATCTTAATCTGTCGCCGTAGAAGGGACAGCAAATGACGTGGGGGAGGAATTTTTGTTCCCTACGGTTGGTATTAGTGTTTATTGCCGCAATCCATCATAAAGACAGGTATTACACATGTTTTGGGAGTGTTTGAAAGGGGACCTCACGCATAGAAAACAAATACGCTCAAGTTGTTTGTATACGAGTCGAGAGGATAACTTCGAAAGTTTAGGGGAATTGTGCATTTCGTAAGATATACATATTTATGTACTATAGTCCAAACACTATAGTCCAGTAAATTTAAATACACAATAAAAAAGGTTTAGTTAGCCCAACTATTATTTGTTTCATTTAACTAAATCTGTTGTTTCAATAGAGCCAACCAAACATTTAGTTATTTTAACAACAGCATTTAGTTATATTTTACAACTACATATTTGGTTAAAACAAACATTTATATAGTTAAATTGACCTTTAGCTACCAGTCCAATGTACTAAATACATTTGGTTGAATTGACTCAATATATATTGTTACCCTAACTGGGTTAACGGCTTGGTACAACTTATCCATAGCGTTTGGGGCATTTATATACCTAACAATAAAAATAAGATCTTGAAATATTTGGAGTAGAAACATTTTTTTAAGCCATTTTTATATATTCTTCAAGAAACAAGGAAGTTCCTTGACGCATTACTAGTACAATACCAGTGGTATTATTCCAGAAAATTGAATCTTCACCTCGCTAGAGATAATGTTTTTAGTGCGTTCCACCAACTTAATAAAATACTTCAAGTATTGACAGCTGTTTCCACCTATTCAAGATCTCTTTAGTATCGAACAACTTGTAGTGTCACACCAAAGCAAAGGACTACCTGAGCTTATATACTCTTCGTGTAAGTCAACAGAGGCGAGATTTAAGAACATCACATGATCCACACCGCCTTTGCCGCGATCGGTACATACTATGCAACCAGGAATGCACGGCAAATTGTTTTAATCGTTTTAACAAAGTGCTTAAGGTTGAAGTAACTCTTATTTTAAAAAAAACCTATTTAGTAGACTGAACCATACAGCGGTTGGTTTCACTAAAGTTTTCCGGGTTAATTTAACCAATTTAAAAAAATAAAATAACCATCTGGTTTAGTACCGTCAAACTAATCTTTGGTTATATTAACCTTCCCACGGTTAATTGAAATAAATATGGGTTGGGTTAGTTAAATTAACCATATTTCTGTGTATTATTATGTCAGTTTGTAAATTTGTTTTTAGAACCTATGGCAATGCTGTGTAAAAAATATTCAGTGTATGAGCTACGTTATATCAAATATCCAACGTATTAGACAGACACTTTGACATTTATTATTTTTGTGCATCAACTCTGTTAAAGTTTCACCATTCTTTTTCAATTATCATCTTTTAGATGCGTCTATCAAGTTTGCTGACACACCCTCCGAATGCAAGTGCATCTTGATTAAATTTAAGGGTGAGTTTCGATAAAAACACCACAGTAATGTCATTTTACGCCTCCTATTTGTTTTACGCCCCACGAAATAAATTTGCACAGATAAGAGCAGCATTATAACACACTTAAGGGCCAAGTAATAGGATGGTGAAATGTACAATGGTATTCGTTTAATTTGTGTATAGTAGAGTTGATAGATATGCATTGGTGTAATATATTAACCTACTAAGAAGTATTAATGCACCGGCGGCTATTGGAAAGTTTATGAACTAAGTTTGAGATCTTATGAGTTAAACTAACTAAAAATATTAGTTTAGTCTTTATTACAAAAGTTTGGTGGTTGTAATTAAGGATTTGGTTTTTGATTCAAAACGTATGCTTTTTGTTGTTAAAGATTAAACGTTTCACACAGAGAAAAAGAAGAGTTGAAACCTGTTGTAAAAAATATTTTAAAAATAAATGTTACTCTTTTGTACAATTTTTTAAATAATTCGTATAAATTTAGTATAACTGAATTAGAATATAAATTTTACAATATTGGACAATTTGTTCGGGAGTGAAGCATCACACCACCCAAGATAACCAATGAAATGATTTCCCGCTTGAAATAAGACGCCGGCCGGTCGCTCAACTGCAATCTGCATCATCAGTTTGCTGTTTTAGTTAGTGTTAGGAAGTGTATCATTGTGAGGTTAGTTCCACATTTCTGGTGAGTAATTATTGAATATTATTTTTCCGAATAGGTGGGTAGGTATTTGCAAAATTGTTCAGGGACTGGAATAAATCAATAATTATGATGTGATCAAATATCATGGTTTGTAATTTGTGTTATGTTTTCAGTTTATTTTAACTTAATTCTATCCTTACAAAATTTTTGTAGCAAAAATTGTTTCTGTCACGTTTTTAGCACCAATTTGTTGAACAAATTCATATAACTATGAAACCAAATGCAACAAATTTTTCTCTGTGCAGTAAATTAAATTTTGCATAATAATAGCGAAATATTTTCAATAAATTACTTCAGCTAACCGTGTGTGGCCTGTACATTCCTATCTGCTCTTGGTAATTATTGGTCCATTCAAATTTGATGTATAGCCAGATTTTGTGCACTATAGCGTTCTCGTTTTGAATGATATCCACGTGTTAGATCGCGAATATTCCGCCAGCCCTGACAATGGAAACAATGGCTTTCATATTAAATACCACTTTTTGATGCTAGCAAATGAATAAATTCACCTGAAATGTAAAATGTACGTCAATAGGTTTAATATCGTAGTTTCTCTCTCTCTCTCTTAAAATATTAAACGAAATATGCTTCATTTTATTCGATGATCACTCACCTTATAGTTTTCTAGCAAGTCTTAGGTACTTTTACTCTTTTAGTGCGAACTTCTAGTGTAAATTAACACTATTATTTGAGTAAAACCTATTGGTGGTAGTGAATAAAACGAAAAGGTAAATAAAGAGAAACATTTATTTGGAACAAAAATCTATGACAATTATCAGAATCGGTGCCTTTTAAAATATAATTTTATATTTGAGTCGTATGGCTGGCTTAAGCAAAATGGTTTCTTAAAACGTAAAAGTTTTAGATTAATGCAATGTTTTACTGGCTGTCAACTTGTAAGCAATGAATTATCTTGAGAATTCATCAGTAATCTATTTTTTTGTTATAAAAAATGGGTGATCTTATTGGTAGAGAGGCGTCAGGCGGCTGTATGTCGGGGATTTACCACACGTGTACAAATTTTCCATAATATTAATAAAAATGTAGGTATAGCCTAATATAACAACCATTACGCTTGAAAATCAAAAGTAAATCAAGTGTGTAAGTATTTATATTATTAATTTTACAAGAACCCGACCTACTGCCGTAAATTATTGATATATAATTTAGGTCGGGTATGGACATACTTTTAAAATATTGGTATTTATTGAGTATTAAGGCTTAAAGAAAAAGAAAGTATAATACTTATCAAAAAATAAGAATGTCCCCTTATGGATTCACCGTAATTAAAATCTAACTGAACAAAAATGCCACACTTCCACAACGCGGTATCTCCGGATATGCACTGCGTAGGTAGATACTATCTACTAGATAGGTACCAACCAAACATTTTAAAACGCATTTCGGTTATTACCAGTTTTTTCAGTCTATTTTGCCACTATTGGTGTAGTTTAACTTTAATTGTGATACAATGTGCACTAGTAGTGTAAAGAAAAAAGAGCTCTTAGTAACATCAAAACAGAAAAAGAAATTGGCATGCACTGTAGTGTACATGTTGTCGCTATTTAACACAATAAGGGGTAATAAATACTCGCATTAAGTTTTTCTACCCTTTTGATTTATTTTAATAATAAATAGTGTGAATGTACCAATGAATAATGTTCATTTTCTTTAATTGTGTTTAATAAAGTTAATAAGCACTAAATGCTACCTAGTGTATTTTGTAGTGTAACTTTTACACTTACAAATCAACTCTAATATTTTTACCCCACACTAAAAAATTTACACGGGCAAAATTTTTTACTGTGTATATGTATAAATCCTACACGCATTGTAATTTTACTAAACAGTTTGACAGTTTCTAATAAAAAGGATCTCAGATTAACAAACGTCGTTTGTAATTTGATTTGCTATAATGTTATGTAAAATGCACAGTATGTACCGATTGCGGCAATCACGTGATGTTCTTACATCTCGCCTCTGTTGAGTTAGGTGGACAGTATATAAGCTTAGGTGTCTTTTGTTTTTGGTGTGTTTCAATACACCAAATTGCCCGACATTGATAAGACCCAAAATAGGTCTATCTGTCTAGCTTAGGGTTGCCATACGTCCCGGTACACCGGGACATGTCACCAGTATCAAGAGCTTTGTCCCGGTGTCCCGGTTTGGGCTTCAAATGTCCCGGTCTGATGCCACCAGCTACCTAACTTCATAATATATCAAGAAAATTCTAGAACTTTTTTTAGCAATTACTCATTGTTGTAAAGCGAGTACTGGGAGATAAACGAGAGCGCACAGAACATAAGACGCTTCGTTAAACAGAGCTATCAGATTGTTGGTTATTTTTTAATTTAG